TCATTTACTATTATTCAGCTAAAAAAATTAACACATCTGTGTTAACAGCAACTTAACAGCGACACCCTGATACGGGGTAAGCACGACAGAGATACACCACTATGGGAGAGGATCAGAGAGTCAATCCAGCTCAATTTTATAGGGACTGCACTACACTTATATACAAACAGGTATAAACAGAAGACAGGATAAGGTGGGCTTCCAGACATAGAACATGCGGATTGGTTAGGAGAACCTAAGCCTCGTGTGGACCACTCCCAGCTCAACAGACGCGGAAGCTGTCTTCCCAGGTGGCAAGCTTTCCCAAGCTGGTACAGCCAAACAGGGGAGCTTTCTCTACGCAGTAGTAAAGGCAGTTAGAAGGCTTGCACTTGTCTGGAGCTTAGGCGATCTGTCCTGGCAGGAGACCCTCCCTTCCTCCCCAGTCTTCCTCAGCACCCCATTCTATATCTCCAGAGTGAGGAACCTCACTCAGGAGCTCCCCTGAGCCACACACACACACACACACACACACCCTTTAATAAAGCCACATTAAGCTTTCTCTCTTTTTCTCTGATTCCTTCCTTAAGTCTGCCAGCTTAACAATCTGTCTTAGAATAAGTCCAACAGAAGTGCTCCTTAAAGTTGAGGATGGTGAGACTTGTCTCAGATACTTTGGGCATGTTATCAGGAGAGGCCAGGCCCTAGAAAAGTGTAGCGTCAATAAAAGGAGGAACTTTGAATTAGATTGACACAGTGACTACATCAGTCATCTTAAGCATCCAGACTGTGTGAGGTGGTGTGGGATCAGGCAGGATTTCCTTCTTTTGTGCATGGAGTGGTTCAGAGTCCGAGCTAAGGAAGATTCCAAACAACAGACATCATACCACATTTTAAAATAGAGTAATTAAAAGTACACTGCTTTAGAGATGGGGGAATAAAGTAGTGGAATGATTAGGGAATTTAGTTGATAACAAAATAAACATTGGTTAGTCAATGAGGAAAAGAATGTGTATTCAGTATATGAGATTGAAGCATTTAATATCCATACCTGAAGCACTTGCTGCAGAAGGTCAAGGGCTGCAGTCTTCAATATGGATTGAAGCTCAATATCAAGAAAACAAAGATTCTCACCACTGGGCCAATTGGCAGCATCAGTTATGGATGGTGAAGAGAGTGAGATAGTTAACAGTTTTAGTTTGCTTGGCTCCAAAGTCAACACTCTTGGTAACAGCAGCCAGGAAATCAGGAGACGAATTGCATTGGGAAAGTCAGCTGTGAGGGACCTCTCAAGAGTACTGAAGAGCAACGACGTCAGGCTGGAGACTAAGGTGTGCCTGATCCAGGCTATAGTCTTTGCAGTTACGTGCTATGCATCAGAGAGTTGGACAGTGAACAGGGATGATAGAAAGAGAATTGATGCCTTTGAGTTGTGGTGCTGGAGAAGAGTATTGAATATACCATGGACTGCTAGGAGAGCAAACAGGTTTCTCCTGGAGAGGGTGAAGCCAGAATGTTCCCTGGAGTCAAGGATTCTGAAGCTTCGTCTGACATACTTTGGGCATGTTGCAAGGAGGGACTGGTCCTTGGAGAGGGACATCATGTTTGGGAGAGTGGAGGAGAGGAAGACCCTCGATGAGATGGATCGATTCTGTGAGTGGAGTGGTGGGAATGAATGTGTTTGAGACAGCGAGATTGGCACAGGATAGAATGGCCTATAGGCTCTTGTACATAGGGTCGCTATGAGTCGCAAATGACTCGATGGCACATAACAACAACAACAACATGGGAACAGTGATTTATAACTCACTATATACACAATCCTGCTTGCTGAAACTGAAGAGGACCTGAAGCGCTTGCTGCAGAGGGTCAAGGACTGCAGCCTTCAATGTGGATTGAGGCTCAATATCAAGAAGACAATGATTCTCACCACTGGACCAATTGGCAGCATCAGGTTGGATGGTGAAGAGATTAAGATTGTTCACAGCTTTAGTTTGTTTGGCTCCACAGTCAACACTCTGGGCACCAGCAGCCAGGAAATTAAAATGGGAAAGTCTGCAGTTAGGGACCTCTCCAAAGTACTGAAGAGCAGTGGTGTCACTCTGGAGACTGAGGTGTGCCTGATACAGGCAGTGGTCTTTGCAATCACTTGCTTTGCATCAGAGAGCTGGACAATGTCTAGGAAGGATAGAAGGAGAATTGAGTGTTGATTGTGGGAGGAGCAAGCTGTAATTGCTAAAAACCTCAGTCTGAACTTTACCTCCAGGCAAATGCTGCTCTTTGAGTCATGGGTATCCCCCCTCCCCCCCTCTTATTGTTCACCCTGTAGGCCTGTCTATTGTTTGACTACAAATTTAGGTAAGGGAGTAATTTCAGTTTCAGGCTTGAAGATGACTAAGGATCTTAATCTCAGGGTCTGTCTATCTCCATTAAAGGAGTCACCCTGGCATTTTTTATGATCTGAGATTTTGAACCTTTTTCTCTTTCTGCTCTTGTGAGAGAGCTTCTTTTATGATTCCTTTCTGAGCAGTAGCTATGATAGCCAGGCATCATCTAGTTTTTCTGGTCTCAGCGTAGATATTGAAGTTCAGTGGTCCATTAGTCCTTTGGTCTTTGAGTCTCTTCAGTTTTGTTTTTTTTTAAATTTAGGTTGTTTATTTTTCATTTCAATGAACATCTGCAGAGATTTTGGGATTCCATTCATTCATTGTTGCACCCTTCTCCCCGCACA